AAATGCTAACAGCGCCACGTTGTTGTTAGCCGCGGCCGCCTGAAAAGCACACTGGTGGGCTCTGTTGGAGAGCGCGGTCGCCACCTGGTCGTGTTTCCCCGGAGGGACGGGACGCTTCTCCAGCCTGGACATCTTCGCTCTGAAGGCTTCCGCGAGGCTTGGCTCAAGGGGGGGTACCGAGGGAAAGCCCCGCTCGGTGAACCCCTCCACTCTGGTGATGGGGGCGTAAGTGGAGACGGGCGCCCTTAACCTACCAGGACCGGCTGCGGCCTCGTTCCAGTACGCTGTCACCGCAGGAAAACGAGGCCAAATGGGATCAGGACGGCGAGCCGGCGTGGAGCCAAACCTTCCCGCAAGATCATCCGATCTGAGCGGGGGGGGTGAGGGGACGGAGAGCCCCTTAACGCTAGCAGCTTCCCGGATAATGGCGGGCAGCTCCGAGAGGAGCGCGCCCACGGCAGGGAGCGATGTGGTCGCTGAGGCGGGAAACCCCGGGGGAGTCGAGCATCCGCTCGGCCTCCCTCTTTCCAACACTGCGCTCCCCGGGAGGGAACGAGCGTCGGGGCTGCTGCTAGCGTCACCGGTCCCAGAGGAATCATCCGATTCACTCCGAGAGCCGGCGTCGAAGAAATCCATGGCGTCGTCCAGCGAACAGTCTCCCGCCACGGACAGGCAGTCCTCGATGGTAGCCTTAAACAAGGCTGCTCTCCTCTGCCTTTCCTCCGGTGGAAGCTCGTCACAGAGGCGGCAGGAGGAAGCGCGAGCGACGTGGCGGGGACCCAGGCATCCCTCGCAGGTGTCGTGCCGGTCGAAGCTAAGCAAGTAGCCGGTCTTGCACGAGGGACACAAACGGATGGTGCTGGAGCTGGACATCTCGACGAAAAAGGTCAGTTTATTCTTGTTTTATTATGCTTGCTGAAGAAAAACTGGGAGCAGATTACCCGCTCTTAACGTAATTTATACGGATCGGGTGGGGCCCACACAGCAGGTGGGCGTGGACTAATTTTTAGTGCTTATGCTGCGCATAACGGGATAAACCATCAGCGACAGCCTTAAAGGGCGAAGCCTATATGAAATAGAACAGCTACATTATAAAGTGATGTCAAATATTAAAAACTGGAACATGTCTGCATTGGTTTAACATTGAACAACCAGGTTTGTAAAAAATAAAATATAATATTAAAGTTTTTGTGTGAGTGTATGTAATTTGTTTCTGCTATTTAGAAATTTGTGCAGGGGGCACCACTTGGAATCTTCCCCAGGGCACCAAATTGGCTAGGACCAGCACTGGTTGCTTATTAAACATCAGTATCAGACAGCTATTGATCTGAAATAGATAAATATGCTCAACATACAAGATGTGCCTGTAATAAATGTCACACTACTAAGACAGCCAGCCGTTCCATGCATCACGCTTCCCCATGAGCTGCGGACGTTCTCTGATCCTGTTCTGTTCAAAGCCGAACTAAAAACCTATTTATTTAAAATGACTTTTAATGTTTAACCTTTAGTATTTAACTTTTTTTTTTATCTATTTTACCTTCTTTTACTCTGGCTGTGTTTTTAATTTGCACTGATTTATTGTGTCCCGTTTTTATTTGTTTTATCTTGTAAAGCACCTTGGTCAATGCAAGGCGTTGTTGGAAGGTGCTGTAGAAATAAAGTTTATTATTATTATTATCATCACACAAGGTGCCATTATTTTCACTTGAGCACTTGTCCCCCAAAATGTCTGTGCACGCCACCGCACTCGACTTCAGCTTAGACTGTTTTAAAAACGTATCTGCACACTTTACTCAACAAATCTGAGCATCAAATGCACCAATAAATTAAAATTGTTGGGTTTCTACGTCCTAAGTGACTCTTCTGTGGACATTGCCATCGTTCAGTCACTTCATCTGTTTCCACACATTGGCTGCACTTAACAAATTTTGGATTTAAAGACACGTTAGCTATTGATATGAAACCATTCTTCATGACACGACCTTTAATGAATCATTCCACTGAACATTTCCATTAAAACTGTTTCACCTACAGGCCTGAGAACTGCTGGGTGGAGTTATTTTTTAAATATATATATATATATATATATATATATATATACATTTGTATATAAACAAAATCACTATGCAATTGATTTTTCCATTTGCTCAAATTTCCACTTTGTTTCTTGTAAAATACACAGATTAGCTTCACTACTCATTAAGCAACACAAGATTTGGATGAAGGTAACAAACAGGACAAGAAGAAAAAAATGCTTGTGAGCCAAAGTCTATATTTTCTACACCACTATAAATTAGTTACAATATAAACATCAATTTAGCACGTTGTTTTACTCTCACTACATTTTATTTGCAAGAACTGCAGCCTTTTAAGCTGTTCAATATGATAGATATCTTAGACTTACAGCTCACTTTGAGAAAAACAAAGATTTTAAATGCAAGACAATGAAGTTAAATATTGATGCGTTATTACAGCTTTAAAAATGCAGCAATTATTATTATTTTTTTTAATGTACAATGTACTTTCTTGTGCATTTTGTTAAAATATGAAAATTGGAGACTCATGCACACTACACATTTACTGCACCTCAGCAGTTACACTGTAACAAAGAGTGGGACCAAACAAGTACATACAATTTGTCATTTCAGATGCACAACAAGACAGATACAGTATTTTACTTTAAAGTTTACTGCTATTTTATCAAGCCCAGTGAAAAAGTTATATTAGGAAACACATTTTGCACTTTTTTTTTCTTATATTAGATGCTGTTTTGTTTTTTCATTACCGTATTTTTTGGAGTATAAGGCGTACCGGATTATAAAGCGCATTAAGTGAAATAAGTTCATTTTGACAGATTTTTGAGCACCATGTACCATTTAAAATCGGTTTGAGATCAGTAAGCACAACCAGAATTAAAACATAAGGCGCACTGGAGTATAAGACTCAATGTCAGTTTTATTTTTTTTAATTAAAGGATTTTAAGTGCACCTTATAGTCTGAAAAATACGGTAAGAACTTTTTTATTGTGACCAGCTGCTAATTGCTACTGAGTTTATTTACCTACAGAAACAGCCGAAGTGACTGAAAACAACAATGGCCATGTCCACAAAAGAGCCATTAAGTCTGACATTTCTCATGTATTCGTACGTATTTACACTCAGACGTGTTGAGTAAATACTCAGAAATGCATAACTGCATTCCAGAAAAACACATATTTGGAAAACTACAGGAGCCAACTCTTTCAAACTGCACCATTTGATAAAGCTCAGGGTGGTCTTTTTATTGTTTGATCTCATCGCTTATGATGAGAAACTTTTAAAGTTACTCTTTGTTCTTTCTGTTTATGTATTTAGAAACAATTCTTTTTTTTTTCATGTACCTTTTATTTATACAGGTAGTCGCATTGAGCCATGAGAACTCATTTTCAAGAGAGACCTGTTTGGGGAGCAGGGGGGAGTTATGGACCTTGCTCAAGGGCCCAGGGTGGGGCGAGTAAGGATGCTTCACCTACCAAACCCACATTTTTGATGCTGTCGTTACTGGGGATTGAACCGACAATCTTCCGATCACAGGTCCACCTTCTCTAACCTCTGCGCCACCCCCTTATAATTCTGCATCCATTGTGAAGAAAAAGTACTTTCATGATTTACAACATAAACGGAGTCAACAATGCATTCTCAGCACCAGTTAGAAAAATCAATTAACCTACACTGTAAGATCTTAGGGCAGCACGGTGGCGCAACTGGTAGAGCTGCTGCCTCTCAGTGAGAAGGTCCTTGGTTCAAACTCCGGTCCAGGGGCCTTTCTGGGTGGAGTTTGCATGTTCTCTCCGTGCATGCGTGGGTTTTCTCCGGGTACTCCGGTTTCCTCCCACAGACCAAAAACATGCATGTTAGGCTGATTGATAACTCTAAATTGTCCCTAGGTGTGAGTGAGAGAGTGAATGGTTGTTTGTCTCGTTTGTCTCTATGTGGCCCTGTGATGGACTTGCGACCCGTCCAGGGTGTACCCCGCCCCTCGCACAGTGATTGATGGACATGGGCACCAGCGACCCCCGTGACCCAAAATGGAATAAGCGGGTAAAGAAAATGGATGGATGGATGGATGTAAGATCTTATAAAAGAAGAGACTGTTGACAGAAGTCAATAAGAAATCTACATTAGACATTTTAAAGTCCATGTGGTGTGCAAGCTGTTTGGATTTCTGAAGTCAGGAGCGCCCTCTAGTGACTAAAAGTAAACACTGCAGCTGTGAGACTTTTCACACAAACAATACAAAAATAAACAAAAACACAATTTATTGACAACAACAAACTGACTCCTTAAACTCCTGTTTATGTGCACTTTATTTAAATTATTATTACAGCTCTGTGGTCTTATAAAGCATTGCAGGTTGCTACAGTGAGTGGCTTTAAAATATATTCAAATGAAAAAAATACTGGAAGTAATAAGTTATGCTACACTTGTTTACTTATTTTTTTAATATTCTTACAGTAAAATATCACTATTTACAGAGAGGAATAATAAAATGTAAACGAAAACAACAGTTTCATCATTTTAGGTCAAAACTGGAATGAAAAGCATATATTACATATATTAACATTTTGTAAAGATAAAAAACTATTTAGAGGAAAAGAAACTGCAAGAAGTAAGGCTTTGTCCTCTTCGGTTTTTAGTGGTAAGAAGCTTCTTTCCACAGATGTGATTTTGCAAAGCAGAGTTTTGCATGATGCTACATTTTTGTTCCTATTTTAGATTTTATTTGAAAACTCAAGAACCAATGTAACCTTTTATAGTGTTTAAATCCAACAGATAAAAAAAAAGCATTGTACAAGTTGTCAAATTAGATATTTGCTGCAAATACAATTTTTTATAGATGCTTTGTATCTTTTATTCTTAGATGAGCTCATTGATACACTTCTGAGATGTTTTACTACCAGTCTGTTTTTATTTGAAGCACATGCAAAAGTTGTTTTTTAAAGTTAAACTGGCTACAGATGACTACTTTTACTCATTCTACAGTAGCATGTGAAATAATTTGCCTGCTTTCAATTTTTTTATCTGAACATACTGTTTGGTTTCAAGTTTGTGCCAAACTGAGGTTGTACCCAGCATGCATGATGGGTAAAATTGTGTCTACATCAGCTGGGCAGTATTTGCAGTGAAAAGACCTGGATGGTTTTGAGATCAGACCATTTTTAGCTCCCAGCCGCAGCCTGCGTCACGCAGCGTCACTTGTGTCTTGAGCGAACTTGAAGCAGAGTCGGCGTCTGCTCCATGATCCGCAGCAGCAGATTATCGATGTAGTCCTCCAGGTCTCGAACCTGCAGCTTGACCTTTTTCAGCTCGGCCTCACATTTCTCCAGCTGCGCACCCTGCTGATCAGAGGCTGCCTGCTGCTTCTGCAGGTCCATCTCCTGCTGCAGCAGCAGGGAGATCAGCTCCATGTTGGTGAGGTGCTGGTACTGAGCAGCTCGGTCTGCACTCACCTCCTACAGCACAAGAGAACAACCAGCACGGGGCAGATGTTTTTACTAAAACCTGCACAAAGTATTCACTGGATGTACAAACAGCTGATTTACTTTTGTTGTCACCACAATTCAAGATGACCACCACAGCTAATCCACATTAGCTATAGAGCAGGAATATTCAACTGGCGGCCCGTGGGCCACTTCCGGCCGGCGGGTGACTTCAGACCGGCCCACCAATGAGTTCATTAAAAAATATATATATATTTTTTTGGTTTTGGGTTTGGATTTTGGGTTCTGTTTATTACATTTATGATTCAATGCAATAAAACAAACAAATTTAAACGGTAACAGATCATTGTAATACAATAGTTCCTCGCTACTTCGCCGCTCATTTTTATGGCGGCTTTTCAAAATAAGAGTGGACATGACACACAATTGGCTGATTGACGGATGAGCCGCACGAGCAGCATGGAATTAAAAAAAAAGTATTTAAAATTATTTTGCATCTGCGTGCAGGCCACAGCTGCATAAAAAGCTTCCTCCTGCAGCCAGACGCAGGAGAAGCTTCTTCATATGTCCGCTCTGCAGCGAACAAGTGGGCGTGGCCAAGAGTGCTGGCAGGTTGCAGAGGAGGCAGAGAGCTGAAACCATGACATCCTGTGCTCGTTTAGAGCGTTTAGAGTTTAGAAACATTGTTTAGAATATTGCAAGAGTGTGGGAAGGGTTAGCGGTTTTTCACTTATCGCGGGGCTTCAGGGTATGGATCCCCCGTGATAAACAAGAGACTACTGTACTTGGTTTATTTACATAATGACTTTAATCGCTGGATGTCCGGCCCCTGAGCTGCTGTCTTTCAGAAACTGTGGCCCCTGAGCAGTTTTGTTGAATAGCCCTGCTGTAGAGTTATATAAAACACTAGAGGGTGTACTGGTCACATGACCATGTGATTCACTGGAGAGTGGGTGCCAAACCCACTTACAAATGGGGACTGCAATTAAAACCTTTTTCAAAATAAGGGCCAGTTTCAGAATCTACATTAACTCAAATTAGAACATCTTTTCTTGGTCGCAGCTTCCTCAACAAGAGTTTGATTGGTCTCATTTGACATTCTCTGTTGCACTTTTGACATCATAATCAAAGATTATTGAAAAAATTCAAGTAATAAAAGTATTTTTCATTTAACTCATCATCTTTGGGGCCAGGAAAGATGTAAACGAGGGCCACATTTGGCCCCCAAGCCTTGAATTTGACACATGTGCACTAGAGCAACATCAGCCATTACCAAAACTGTCAAATGTTTCACTTGGCGTTTTGACTAAATAGCTATGAGTAGAGCCTGACTATGTAAAAAAATAAAAAAATAAATAAAAAAATTATAATAAAATGTCTGTAATATAATACAATAATATTAAAATATGTATAAAATGTAACAATGCCAGAAAGCTGTGTGTGCTATGGACGTGAGCAACAGATAAGAAAAGGGAAAACAATTTTATCTTATTTACCTCGAAGTGAATGTGATCTGACCAGAATTGAAGCTAATAATAAAAGTAGAGCTGACATAACGGCTGTTAATTATTTTTAATTATGGCTTGTAGATGGTAGCTTCTGTGGCAGATATTGCTAGGCTGTACAGGCTGAATCAACCACAGTTTAGTACAAATTATTACAGAGTACAAGCTGCTAGTGCCTCCGCTAACTGTTTATTATCTGCTGTCTTTGCACAAATTCTGAAAAGTCTTTTTTTAAGCTTCGGTACAGATTAGACACTGATCACTGCAATTAGCTGCAGCTAGCAGAGCCTACATTTACACAATTTACACGTTCAACTTGGCTGCAAATTCATCAACTAGTTGACGTCATAATTAGTCATTCAGTTAAAGAGTCTTTGAATGATCTGAAGTTAGTCATTAATTATTGGCCGACGCTGCGTTCCAGTTACGATGGAATTCAGAACTGGGAAGTCGGAGTGATGTCATCTCTGAGTTGAAAGTGTTGCAGTTTAGCGCTTGTCGTGAAGTCAGAAAAAACATGGACGCTCGCAGCAGTGCCTTTGTTCTTGCTCTTTCGGGGTATAAAAAGTTAAAAAACAGACGTTTTGATGAACGCTTTGGAGGTGGATGAAGGTGCAAAACGTATTCTTGTTTTTTATTGTTTCTTTGTACAAAAAATGACTTTATTACGTTCAGTTTGTCATTTCTATTACAATCTTTGGTCATAGAACACAAGCATAAGTAAAACAGAGGATTTATGACACCAAATATATATTTTCCTTCTATAACATCTAACTGTTTTGCACGATTGTTGTCTGAAATTAACATTAATTATGAATTATGTTAGGTTGTTGTAAAGTTATTAATAATAATGTGATGCAGATCCAGCTGGGCTTGCTGTTAGTTAAATGAATGTTTTGTCGGCTGTGAGTAGACGCCTGTTTTGGGCGCCATCTTAGCTTCTCCACGATGTCACAAATGTAAACAACGGGTGCCACACTAGGGGTAATACAACTCTATGACATTAGCCAATATGTAAATGGCTGCAACTCAGTTAGTTTTACAGATGATGAGCTACAATTAGTTGTGGTAGTAGCTGAGAGTCATCTTCAGCACAAACTTTGAGCTACATCTGGTGAAAATGCACGAAATAGAGCACAAGGTTATTTGTATGGTTAGACTAAAACCAGCAGTAGGCGATAATGAAAGGTGCTCAGCTCACCCTGAATGATGATGAGTTTAAATAAATATGTGACGAGCATTCCTCACTCCTGTGGAAACGATATGGTACTAATAAATTTTACCCCCTCTTTTTATTTGTCTTCTATTTGTAAATAAATATTGATACATCATGTGTTGTTGTTTATCTGAGGTTGAATTTAACTTATTTAGAAACCTGTAAAGGACCAATGTATATTGAATTCTTAAAATACTTGTTTTTACAATGAAGGTACGCTGTATTCTATCGTATTTTCCTGTGTATAAGTCACAGGTTGTTTTTTGTTTTTTTTTGTATAGATTTGTCAGTCCTGCGGCTTACAGTATATATGTTTTTTTTTCCATATTCATAACACAATTTTTGACTGATGCTTTAAATTTTGAAGAACCGCAACAGCGAGTCCTCCCGTGCATGCTTGCTTCACTCAGCTGGTGCAGGCGAAGGAACGCTGGATGGATGGATGGATGGATGGATGGATGGATGGATGGATGGATGGATGGATGGATGGATGGATGGATGGAATGGATGGATGGATGGATGATGGTGTTGCACCGCCCAGGCAAAATGAAGCTGTTTTGACCATTAAATAAACACATAATAAAAGCGACGGGTCAGCGGTGAAGAATAATAAATGCGACTTAAATATGTCTTTTTCCTCTTCCTGATGCTTTTTGTTTTGACTGATGCGATTTATATTCCAGAGCAACTTATACGCCGGAAAATACAGTATTACATGTGTACATTTCAAGGCAAGATAAGGTTTGAACGTTCTTAGCTAGGCAAAAAAAAAAATGAGTTCAACCCATAAGAAAACCATTGAAATCAGTGTTTCAGTAAGCTTTTGTCTGTGTGTGAAAGTCAAACAACCTAACACTGACTGGGTGTTTTACCAGTACCTACCTGACTCTTCTCAGGTTCAGGTGCGGCCTGATGGGCGGAGCGTCCCGGGTTTATGGTAGATTTTAGCTTCTCGAGGACCGAACGACTCTCTTTCTTCTCAGACTGGCTGGTTGTTAATGGTTTCACTGGATGAGATCTGCAAATCAAACAGGTCAGGGCTAACTTTTCAACTCTCGTTTTTTTTTATGAGAGCACAACTTATGCCCGCATCATGAATGATTCATCGTGTCCCATCGATGAGGTAAAGCTGCATATCTTTGGATCAGTTAATGTTGTAAAAGCTAAAACCAATCAACAAATCAAAATCATCGAGTTTTCAAACAAAAGTAATCAGTGATCCTGTCTTTAATGTGTTTTTTAAACAATTAAAACGGCCTTTATGTCCCTCAAATTACCAACCCAAGTTGTGTTCTGCCTGCTCTCCTTAGTATTTTAAAAATATCTATTTTTAAAGTTTGCACCTCCTTTTATTGCTCATTGGGGAGTGCTGAACACACATCTACAATAATGTTTCTTATCTATCTCATGTCTTTTATGTGTATTACTGTAGTGTGAATCTCACTTGTTTTTCAGCAAAATAACCAACTTTAGACAGCAAATTATAGCCAAATAGCATTTTCAACTGGAAACTTAAACATGAGATGAATAACATAAGCGTGAAGCAAAGCCAGAAGCAATGCAGCAGCTGTCATCCAATCAGATTGGATGAATTATAAAACGTAAATCCAGTCATGTGCTCAACATTAAACATAACAAACCAGCATGACAGGAAGCAAAAATATCACAGCATTCAAAGCGAAAAATAAAAAGTGTTTTGCTGTTTAAAACCCGAGTCGTGTCTTGGTGTGGGGGCTCTCACCTGCTCTCCTGATGGGGCAGGCTGCTAGCAGGCTGTGTCTCCTCAGGTAAAAGTGAGTGCCGTGCATCGACCAGCAGCTGGTCAGAGCTGAAGGTGGTGGAGAAGGAGGGGGTGCAGGACCCAGTCACAGAGGAGCCAGCTCCACCACCGAGCCCCGTGACTGGGGGATGTATGAGGGGGCAACAGGCAGGGGCAGAAGGGGTAGGGGGACAGCAGAGTTGAGGCTCTTGCAAAGATTCCCCAATCTTTGTTTTGGAGGGGGTTCTGCAGCTCGGTGCAACTTTTGCATGGAGATCTTCAAAACTCATCCCAGAGGTCTGTTCTTCTACATGTGATGCTGTGTGTTCCTTTGAACACATGTGTGATTGAGTTTTAGACACACTTTGATGTGTGTTTTCACTAACGGGGCAAACTTTAAGCACATCTGTCAGTTCTAATGCTTGTAGGGAGGACAGGACTGATTTAGAGGGCTGATAAGATGAAGGTCCTTCACTGACTTCTGAAAGGTTCTGGACGAGAGATAAAAACTGCTCAAAGTCTCTGTCTGTGTATCTGCTTTGGCTGCTTGTGCTGTCACTGCTGCTCTGTCGGGACAATCCTTTTGGTCGTATTCGTGCACTAACAACCCCTGAATATGACTCAGTCTGGCTAGGTTTGACTAACTTGTCTTCTAGGTTTCCATTGAAATCACCATCACTTCCTATGAGTTCTTCTCTACACTCAGTTTTAATGTCTAACAAATTAAATGTTGGGTTTTGTGAAATGGTAGCAGCAATACTTTTACTATTTTCCTTGCTGTGATCATGTGAAGCAACATTGTTCAGTTCGTGTCGGCAATCGTGGCAGTTGTCTTTGCAAACTGGAGGCACTTTGCACATCTTTCTAGAAGACATAGTTATTTCAAAAGAGGAGTTCATTGCAGGTATGTAGGTGTCCTTTAAAGTGAACATGTCCTCAGCTTGGGTTTCCTTGTAGTAGATCTCAGCCGGTGGATGCTCTGTTGGAAAAGTCCCGTTCGAATTGTCGATGCTTTTGTCAATACCCACTGCCTCTGATTGAGGAGATCCGTCAGAATCAATAAAACTAAAGTCTGAGTTGTTTACGTTCATGTTCAGATCTCCGAGCGTTAGCGAGAACGATATGTTGTTGTTAAGGCATGAAGTTTCACACAAGTTAGTTTCTTTCATCTCCTCTGCTGGAGTGTAAGAAATGTCCGGTACCTTGGAGGGAGTAATGGATGGCACGCTGTAGAGGTCGCCAACACATCTGTCATTATCAAAGAGTCTTTTAGATGCGTTCTTGACCAGGGTCTTATCACAAGCGATTTCCTCAGCATTCAGTGAGAAGTGATGAGTATTTACTCTTTGCTGTCCGTAAGTCGTAACCCTTCTGCACACACGCCCATAGAGGTCCTGCTCAAACAACATCCCTCCCCAGCAGTTGGTTTCATCTTCCAGAGGTTCATACTTGAACTTTTGGAGCCTCCCTTCAGACGTGCATCCAAGAGATTTACTGTCTGTGTGCGGCTGGGTGTGAGCGCTGAGGGAGTCGCTGCTTGTCTGAGGGTCAGGGGAAAAACTGTTTCTTTTGGATTCGCTCTCTCTTCCACGCTGTAGCGAGGCCACGCCAGTCTGAGACAGGAGGTAGGCTTCCTTATGAACCGCCAGCTCCTGGCCTCTATGCAGCCACCCATCTGAGAAAATCTCGTTCACCGGAGTTCTCAAAAGTCTCCTCGGAGGTAAAGGCGGAGGCTCGTCTTTGCATGTTCGAGTTTCTTGTGCATAGTTGCAGCCAAAGTCGTCAAGCGGATGGTAACTACGTTTACAACATAAAGTCGGGCTGGCTCTTGGCTGTTCTGGAGGGAATCTAGCTTTAGGGGAGTTGAGTCTGCTTGAGGCAAAGGCGTCAAATGAGTCGTCCCAGTTCTCTGCATTTCCAGATGCAGAGCAAGGGGCGGAGTGATTGGGGAAGTCAGCTGTGGCTTCTGAGGGTGATAACGCAGGGAGTGATATCTGCTTAGCTACTGGCCTGGGGCGCTCCCGCTTTAAGGAAACCCTATTTGTGGCACTAACTTTAATATCAGAACTGGGTGTGCAGAGCTGAGCAGGCAGGGTGGTGTAAAGCAGAAGTGGGGAGCCAGACGAGGAGCATGGTGCAACAGAGGACATCTCTGACTCTTCTGCTACGAGCTCCTCAAAAAAGGGGTTGCGCTGAATACATGGAAGGAAGGGATTTGAAGGAGAGAGGGGAGTTGACGATGGGGAAGAGGAAGGAGTGAAGGGACTGATGTGACTGTGGTCATCAGGTAGGACCTGACTAGAAGGGGAAGTGGAGGGATGGGAGCACTGGGGAGGCACAGGGGAGCAAGGAGAGAGGGAAGGGGGTACGTCTGAGCTGCTTTCTACCTTAGGAGAAACTTCCAGCCTGTGAAAATAGGGCACAATAGTCCTCTTAGTTAATCAGGTGCCAGGTTACCAATGGGGAACATCGATGTACACAGAATATTTGACATCCCTCAACAAAATAAAAGGACTAACTTCAGTCCAAAAACTCAGGCAGACGTAAAAACAAGCCAAAGAAATTTGCAAAAAAAAAAAAAAGCAATCAACCAAAATTAAAAGCTGAAGCATTGTAGCCATTCGAGCACCCTGTCATCTCCTGTGTTGAGTGAGCTCATATCAACATTTGTTTTTTTCCTCCAAACCCACTGATCACAGTTTTGATAAAGAAGCACATCAATGCTGAAGGGCTAATTGAGATAACAGCGTGGTTTTAAAATGGACAAAAGTTAATGAGAGTAATTTTCAAACAAGGAAAGAGCAGAACAAACACCTGACTTGGCACATCCGGCTGAAAATAAGCCTACAGTGTGTTCCGGTAAAAATTAAAAGCATCGATGAGTGTGAAGCTCAGCAGTGATTCGGTAAATGATCTGTACTCACCTTGGCTTGTTCTGGGGGTCACTGGAGCCAAACCAGCCTCTGAACTTCCCCTCAGATGCAGACCCAGCCTGGTTAAGGTCAGACTTAGATGGAAGAGAATCACTCCTTCCTGTAGAGAATAAAGTCTTTCTTAATTTCCTTCCTTTGTCAGGTGAACTTCCAGCTGACGAGACAATCTGCACCGCAGCCTGCACAGGACGGTCCCCAGGCTGAGCTTCCAGAGCTGGACCAGACGACGCCTGATCCTCCTTTTCTTCCTCCTCTTTCTTCAACTTGTCAAAGGACCAGCGTCGGCCCTCTGCAAAGGAACCTTTGTCCTCACTTCTTTTGGTAAGGTTCTGCAGAGAGCGAGACAGCGGTGAGCATTTCTCCAGTAGAACCAGTTTAGACTGGAGCGCTCCAGAGCTTTTGGGAGTCGAAGGCTCTGAATCGTAAACGTGGCTACCGTTTATACACAAAGAGGACTTGGACTGAGTCATGGTGCGACCCTTGAGAGACTCCACTGCAGCATTTGTTCGAGGGAAAGCCGTTGTGATCTTACTGGCCTCATCGCTGAAGGCCCGCTTGTGTGTGAGGATCTTTGTGGTGTGCTGGCTGGTGAGCACTGTTGGGAAAACACAAGAAGACAATGTTTCTAAACTCTAAACACTCTAAAAGAGCACAGAATGTCATGATTTCAGCTCCCTGCCTCCTCTGCTCTTTGCCACCTGCAAGTGCTCTTGGCCACGCCCACTTCTCAGCTCTGCACAGTGAACAGTTGATCAGCTGCAGCAGGAAGTTTATACTGCAGCATGGGCTGCAAAGAGGTGCAGGCGGTGCTATACAATTTTAAATAATTTATTTTAACTAAAAATTCTATACCGATCGTGCGGCTCATCCATCAATCAATGAACTGTGTGTCATGTCCACTCTTATTTTGAAAAACCGCAATAGAGCAAGTCTACGATAAACAAACCCCGAAGTAGAGATGGACTACTGTAATGTTACATTTTCGGTCTGAATCTCTGACACAGATGTGGAATTTATTTGCAAAAAGCAACATTTTGTTGCTATAGAAGTCATTATTTCAGCACAGTTTACTTGTTGATTTGTTTTAGTTGTTGGAATGAAAGTTGCTTCAGTGTTGGAGCTTGGAAAAAAAGAGGAACCCTGTTAAATTTATCTGTTTGTGGCTTTAAGCATAAAAGCAACATCAATAGTTCAGAATTGAACAGGAACATTTAAACCACGAGATCACTTTCCAAAACTCATTGCACTGATAAATACCCTGTGGAGTTCAAAGACCTTGTCTGAACCAGTTTACAGCTTGTTTTGACCACATTAAAGACTGTTCATCTTGACAAAAGACCTTTAATTTATCGAATGGATATTTGTTTTATGAACACATTCAGCCACAGTTGCTAGTCAAAATAGATGGAAAGCTCCAAACCAGGAACTAAGTTCACAGATTACTGCTTACGCTGTCAAGAGTGAAGAGTTTAGATCTTGGAACAGGAACTATTTCAAATCATTACATTTGCATTTTACTTTTGCTTCTCCTGATTAGGTTTATTTAAGCCCTTTAAAGTGAAATTTGGGAAACTATGATGGTTAAAATTTTAAAAGTAAATCCACATAATAATCAAAGTTCATGCTCAATAATCCAGGTAGACAATCCAACAAAGTTAAATCAGGTCCTCCGGACGGTTCATTTTTGTTGAAATGTTTCGTTTCGGATCTGATTTATTGGACCAGTTTGGACCAATGCAACCAGTTTGATAGTGTTAAGATGGTTTCTGGAGCCCGCTCTCTCCCTCGTCAACTTGTTTGAGGCAGTCATGGCCAAAATGGTTCAAAACTGGTTGATCCACTATGTGAAGGTGCTACTTATAACACCAAGTTTGTTGCGGCTCCTCGGATTGATGAAGTCTTTTGGATGAAAGACAAAACGTTTCAACAAAAAGAAACCATCCAGTGGACCTGACTTAACTTTGTTGGATCCATATAATATTTTAAAATACAGCTGGAGGCACACTTTGTTAACAAGTGTTCCAGTTTTGAGGAACTCCTCTGGTCGCCTCTGTTTCAGATATACACAGACTTCTGTTGGGATTGACTTTGCACATTTGAACCAATAACAGGAACTAACAAGTGATCGGACCTGTAGTTTTGACTGAAACTTCAGTGGAGCTTTCTGTTAGTTTCGTTGTGTTGAACCTGGTTCTCTTGGTGTAATGTGTGGGTCTTATTAAGGTCTTGTATTTGGTCCTCACTAACTCCTGAGTGAAAACCTGCAGTCGTGGCCTGTTTAGCTGCCAAGGACTTGAATGAATGAATGATGCGTACCTTTTTTAGCTAAGTCTGTTTCTCCGTAGTGGGTGTCCACTCTCACTTTGCTTGTGTAGATGGGGGAGCTGGGGGGGTCTGACAGCAGATCCAGACTGGGCGGAGGGCCAAGGTTATCGCTGGCCATGGAAGACATGCTACTCTCTGAAGCCAGCGATGAGCATGACCTGGTGTCGGATGACTTTCGCATCCTTCCTTTGAAGAAGTCCTTCATCTTGCTCTTCTTCTCCTCTGGTATCTCCACACCCTGTGACTCCACCATACCCTCCTCTCCAAACGGCTGCCCCACGGACCCTGACAAGGCGGCATAGCGTCCCGGCACAATGGCGGAGGAGGACTCCACGTCCCCCCTCTTCCTCCCCGTGACGCGATCCTTGAGCTTTCCGAACGCGGAGCGAGGTTTGTCCTTCATGGTGAGGTCGAACATGCTGGCTGTCATGTTGTTGCGGGTGAACTGGACCGTCACCTGAAGCGCACCACGTTCCTTCTCTTTTCTTCCCGCCTTGGAGTTGAGCTTGAACCATCTGCAGAAAAACAAGGGAGCATTATGATCTGCAATATAAAATTATCTGCTTCTTGTTTTGTTTGTTGTCAATCAAAGCTGAGACAGTAAAGTGTAAAGACTTCTTGGTGAAGCTCTCCAAATATCACAGAATCCTCCCAGAGCAGCTTAAACGCTGCCTTTAACAAATTGTTTTATCATTTTCATAGCAGGAAATCTCAACCCAAGTTTTACTAGAAAAATACAGATGATAAGTAAAAAACACATGAGGGATCAACCAATGGAATCCACCCTTTCTGTCCTTGCCTCTCCAGCTTTTTGAGTGGACCTCAGAAAACATATGGAGCCAAAACTACCAGCAGGAATTCACTGGAGGGCGGAGAACCCACGATTAAAGCCAGATGTGTTGTAATGTTTTACTCTTTTCTGCTCTTCAGTGTTTCACATAACAGCGAGTGCAGTTATGTCACTTGCTGTCGCTTAAAAAAAAAAACCATCAGGTATTCTAGAAAATGATTTATCATAAATTACAACTATAAAAATGTTGAGAACTTTTGAAGTTAATACTATCTAAAATTATTTATCTTGAATATAAGTTGAAAGTATGTTGAGCTGACATGTATTCATGAGTGTGATACAATCTTTTAGTTATAATAAATCTCAAGATTCTTCTTTTTTTTTTTTTTTTTTTGTTGGAACAAAATAAACCACTTGCAGACAAACAACACATTCCAAAGTTTTCCTGACCCAGAGAAGTGAACTCACCACCACTGATTTTCAAACAGGCCTAAAAATGCACGTGTTTGTACGGTGGAAAGACCACTAATGGTGCTTTTGATTGAATTGGCGAGTCAGCCAAAGTTAATGCTCTGCAAAAGGCATTAAAATGATGGTGGACATTTTCAAGGCATGACAGTGAGTAATCTAAAGCAGAACTTCACAAAAATAGTCTCTCATGTTCCCCTTGGCTACAACCTGCACTGCTTTTCTTATATTAATATTTAATCTTTTTGTAAGATTCCGCTTTGCCAATGAGTTTTAAAGTGTTCAGATGGGGGTTTTTTTTGTTTTGTGTGATGAACAACACCTGCTGTAGATACAGTAGCTCTTTGAATGATTTCATTTTAGAGAAATGGAGTTTAATTCTGATTGGGCTGACAAACAAACATGTACTCCAAGTGGGGTCTAGACCAAAGCTGCTATTAAAATCATTTCAGTCTCAAAAGTTTCCCAAGCTGAACCTGAGGTGAGGACTGGGAGAAAGTGGAAGGCTTATAGGAGGCAGTGGACCTAGCAGAGTCAAGACTTTGTCATAAAGTGCTGTACTGTAGTGGGAATTGATGGCAAGAGACCATAGGCAGGATTAACATCACCAAATTAAAAGGTAAAAAAAAAAAGGCAGGGACTGATCCAGAAGAAGATGAAGTTGAGGAGGAACAGGAAGCCAAATGGTAGGATTGAGGCAATGGGGCGTATGGATAAGATGGTAACAGGCACTGGAGAGGAAAGTCTCATTGACCATGACTTGGAAAGCAGAATACTACATCAAGTTTCTCATCCAATTAGAATATTACATACAGCCCAGTCCATCCAACCTATGTTGTTGGGACAAGACAGAAATACCAGGCACCCTGTGCCAACTAGAAAACAGCTGTCTCAGAGCACAGGACAACTACTGGTGGTGGCATGAATAGGTGTCAAAACTGAGTCAAGTCTACCTGTTGTGCCACTGACCAGAGCAAACACCTCAAACCATTGTTCGAGCAGGAGAACCATACAACTGCAAATCAAAGGCTTCACAGGGCTTCATGGGAGCAGTACATGACTGGCAAATGAAGAATCATATTTCTAGAGAACATCCCAAAAACCAGTCTCAGACTGGACACTTTTGGAAAAACAAAACAAGTAGTTGTGTTAGTGTTAACATTGCCCTGCATGGGAGGAGAAGATGGAAGAGGATATCAAGAGAAAGAGGGGAAATACACCAAGCTAAAAGATTACCACAGACAGGGGTGGTGTACTCAATGTATGCCCAACCAAGATAGGGACATTGTAGGAAGTATGAGGCTACAGCCTCCTGGGTGTTACAGTAACATGTAAAAAGTCGTCACAGCCTCAGACTGAGAAGCCCTCAAGATGGTTGTGGATCATGAGGGACAGGCAGTGGGTTAATGCTTCTTGGACACAGACTGTGAATTGATCACTCCCGGTGGGATCATATGGAAGAGAGGGTCTGATGTTGAAACACCAAACACCCCCAGATGATGTGTCCAAGAGCATCAATAGACGTATGCAAAAACTGTCAAAGCAGTTCAAGCAAAGACTATATTATAAACATTTATAACGTTGTCAATTCTCTTTATACAGATGTTCCAGTGGAAATATTAAAATATTCCTGCAGGAAATGCACCAGGAAATGCACTTGCAAATAAGAATAAAGTTCAATGTAAATGCCTGTAATGCCAAACTGACGGTGATGTAAAAGTTTGTAAAACAGCTTTCGCATGAATCACTGTACAGCAGTCCCTGGCTGCTTCGCGGTTCGACTTTCGCAGACTCACTCTTTCGCAGGTTTTCAACGTAAGATTGTGCACGGCACACGATTGACTGATTAATGGAAGGCGACCAACCAGAGCGTTATGCTCTGTCTCCCGGGCGTTGAATGGCTCAGTAACCATAAGCCTTTTCGCTGTGCTCTTTTGAACATATGTTGCTACAATTACGTAGGTTTAAGAGTTTAGAAAATTGTTAAGAACATTACAAAAGTGTGGGAAGGGTTTATAAAGCTTTAATATATATATAAATACTAAAATAAATATAACATCCCTACTTCATGGATTTTCACTTATCGCGGGGGTTATGTTCCAGACACCCTCGTGATAAGTGAGGGAACTCTGGATATTTTTAGACTGGAGTTGTTTTCAAACAGCCTTAAGATCAGATCTTCTGTCTGGTGAGAATTAAACCGCTGACGAAACAATGTACAGCAGGTAAGATATTAATTGTTTTCCAGGGGGCGGCTTTAGCCCAGTGGAGGTTGTGTTTTAGTTTGAGTTGAAGGATTGGAGGTTTTGTTTATCAGTGTATGAACGAGAATAAAAAAGTGTATATCTTCTTCTTCTTTCGGCTTTTCCATCTTCAGCGGTCGCCACAGCGTCATCCTTCTCCTCACTCTGTCCTCAAAAGTGTGCCTATAAGGTGTAAATATAATAAAAGTGTGTGTCTGTGTAATAATACAGAAAGTTGCTTATCAGTAAAAACAAAACAAATCTCTGAGGACATGTCCAGCCTCCAGCTCAATACAATGACCCCTCTTCTCTTCTGTCACATCTTCTGACCCTTCACATAACACCATGAAGAAAGTGGGTTTCTAATGAAAACGTTTTGTTAAAAAGGCCTGTGAGCAGACTGTGTATCTTTTTGAAACAGAGCCTGAAGGAATGACATTTTTATATCTGTAATGATTTTCTGTCTGAAAGCATGACCTGGGCCACAGACAACAACTCATCTTGTCTGAACCTCTCTGCTGAATCAGAGCACATGCCGGATTTAAAATGTCCCGGAGCTTCGCCTGCTGCATCTGCTTTTTGAAGATGATGAATAAAAATCCTGGAGTCATTGTCACCCACAAAGACCACAACAACTATGACAATAAATTCAACCTACTCCTCTCTTGGACACAATCCGTCCTGGAATATCTTGTCCAGGGGGACGATGGTTTGACCCAGAAACACGTCCAGTCCGATGAGCACCCGGTGCATGACGGTGAGGACCAGGTCCCCGCTCCCCGGCGGGTACGCGCTCCGGCCCCCGGTCTCCAGGATCCCGGGCAGCAGCTCGAAGCAGCACTCCTCGTTCCACGCGGGCATCTCCGCCTTCTCCACCAGCCCCGTGGTGTATTTCTCCTTCCCCACCTGGATGATGGTGTAGAGGTAGCGGCTGCCGTGCTTGCCCTTGGTGCGCAGTCCCCTCGCGCGGAGGACCGTGACATTGACATGCGTGGGCACCCACCTCTGATCATCGTCTAGATCTATTAATGACATCATCTTGTTCCACTGCGCCCAGACTCGACTTTAGTCCCCAAACAGTCCCTCAGCGATGAGTGTGATCAGATGATTGGGAGGTCATCCATCCCCCACTTCTTTATTCCTCCATGCGCCAGAGTTTCCGAGCTGCGCAGAAACACCTCCCTGCAGAATAATCTCCAAACCCTTCCACCGATCCTCGGTCAGATCCGCAGTCTGCTTCTCCTGCACGACCTCCTGCAGCCTGAGTCACGTTAGGAGTCCTGCAGGTCGCATCAGTTCATGGTCCGGATTCTGCTGGTTGTGCTCGGCTCAGTCCGCCCTCCTGCTCAGCTGCAGGGCCGCAGGCAGGGAGGGGGAGCGGGGGGGATCTGCCGCAGAGTTAAAGAGAAACAGACACCACGAGCTCCACCAGAACAGCTGATCTGAGGTCTGTGAGCGACCAGGCTGAGACAGGAGCTGCTCTTACACTAAACTGCAGAAATATATTTTAATGAAGTGTTCTTTCAGGAAAATTTACCTTTTTTTCAGCTTTTATGTTTTATTTTTTAAATATATATATATATTATTTTATTTAGGCTGATTGGTAACTCTAAATTGTCCCTATGTGCGAGTGAGAGAGTGAATGGTTGTTTGGCTCTCTGTCCCTGTGATGGACTGGAGACCTGTCCAGGGTGTACCCGCCTCTCACACAGTGATGGCTGGACACCAGTGACCCCCGCGACCCAAAAAGGAAGAAGCGAGTAAATATCATGGATGGATGTTTTCTTCTTCAATGAAGCTTCTGGAACAATGCCCTGAATTCAAATTCATAAACAAACAAGTAAATAAATAAAAAATAATGTTATACAGTATTACTGAAAATAAATTTTCTGAGAAAAGATTGTGAGAATGAGCTGAAGCTGAAACTGAGTCAAAGCTGACAGAAGCAAAACCCTAAAAGCTAATGGAAATAAAATAATAGTTAAAAGTAACAAACCATTAGCTAAAAACTAAAAGTAGTATAAAGCTAAATTCAGAAAAACTTTGCTAAAGTTGTAAAAGATTAAAGTTTTTTTTTAACTATATCAAAGGCTGTCAAAAGCTTAAAATATCATACTTGTATGTAAAAACTAAAAGTAGCACAAAGAAGGAAAATAACAAAAAGCTCAAAGTAAAAAAGGAACTGAAGATCATGTACTGATGCAGATTTTTAAAACAACACTGTTTATAAAAGAACTAAATAAATCTCAATGTATGAGAGAAATATTTGTAAATACTTAATTTTAAAAAGTATAAAAGTCACAATGTCACCCATCTACTGAATGAGCTGAATATTTGTATACTCATTATAAATGGATAAAATACCCCCAAATCAGCAGAAGTAGTTATATTGAAATATATGAACTGAGAAATGGGAACAAACAAGGAAATAATGTGAATGTTAAATTAGTATTCACACAAAACAAGAATTTAAAGCTGAGTAAACATAGAGTTTTTTGTTCTGTGGTATACTTCAGTTGGCACTTGTATAAAATTACATGCACATAAAATTTTATTTTACTAATTTAAAACAATATTGTTGAGAAAATAACACCATCTGGTGGATTGTTGCTGCACAGAAAAAATCACCAGAGAGGAAAAACTGAAGACATGAAGGATCCAGATGGTGGAGATGTTCTCTCATCCAGCAGGGAATCTCTAAAATAAGACAACTGTCAAGTCTTCTGACCGACTGTAAAACATATATACATATATATATATATATGTATTTATATATATTTATATACACACACATTAATGGTGTAGTATTATAAATACATTTTTACTGAATAAAAAAATGACTTTGAATGATCACATGATCAAAATGTTCCAGATGAAGAAGTATTTATACAAATAGACAGAGGTTTTAAACTTTAGTGCTTTTTTATTCATCAGGAATTTAAAAAAACGAAAAATTTTGACTGTATTTGTAAAAATCGTGTGTTTCACAGTGTTCATTACAGCCACTTTGAGAGTAAAGAGTGAAATACTAACCAACACATTCAGAACAGCAAAACAACACAATCCAACAGTTTTAAGGTTTCTGGCACTTAACTACGCGGCTTCTTAAACATTTGATTAAAAAAATAAAAAAATTAACGTGCACAATACCTGTACTTAATATTACACATTTACACAGCACTGTTGATGCGGTGAACACAGTCATACATTCAAATGTAAATTAAATCGTGACATAATAAGTTTTCAGCAATAAACCAGAATGTAAAAAGTTGGTTGTTTTCGAAGTCATGACTTTTTGCCTTCAGTGAGACAAAAAAGTGCAAATAAGAGCTTTAAGAAAGAATTATCAGTAAACACACATCACAGCTGTAACACCAGAGGTTTAACACATTTAAGGCATTTTTTTCAGCTGAAGCTGCGCTAAACCAAAAATCTGGATTTTTTTTTTAAAGAACACAAAAAAAAAGCTTTGTTCTGCTGCAACACCAGTTTGCTTATAAAACAGTAAATTACAATGTCATTTTGGTCTAAAAAAAAACTTTTCAGTCATAATTTATTTAAATCACGTCAAACCTTTGGATAGCTGAACAGCCTGTTTTACATTTCCTCTCAAAATCCATGTTTTCTGAGATACAATGTTCATCATACAGAACAAATGGGATTTTTTTCTGCTCAACACAAACAGAACAACAAGACTAGATGTCATACTGAAGACAGTTCCGGAACAAATTAGTGGAGGATTAACGAGTTAAAGAGGAAGAAAAGCTTTGGTCAAGGTTGTGCTGTGAGGTAGAGTCTGAGGTGCAAAACACAAGAACCCCAAATTAAACCCAACGACAAAAAAAAAAAAAAAAACACACAGCAAAAACAACAGAATCATAGAAGACACTTACAATACACAAACCTGTATTTCAAAACATTTAAATTTAGATGTTGCCATCTGTGACAGCACGGTGGCACAGCTGGTATAGCTGCTGCCTCTCAGTGAGCCGGTTAACATGGTTCAAATCCCAGGGGGCCTTCTGGGTGGAGTTTGCATGTTCTCTCCGTGTTGCGTGGGTTTTCTCCGAGTACTCCGGTTTCCTCCCACAGACCAAAAACATTCACGTTAGGTTGATTGGTAACTCTAAATTGTCCCTAGGTGTGAGTGAGAGAGTGAATGGTTGTTTGTCTCGTTTGTCTCTATGTGTCCCTGTGATGGACTTAAGACCTGGCCAGGATGTCCCCCGTCTCTCGCACAGTGATTGCTGGACATGGGCACCTGTGACCCCCCGCGGCCCAAAAGGAAGAAAAAGGTAAAGATAATGGATGGATGGATGGATGGATGGATGGATGTTACAGACCCACCTGGTGATAAGTTACACAATACACACTGGTGCTTATCTGGTACTAGAGTACATACTCAGTAAGTACAGGGTAAAGAGTCACCAGTACCAAGTATCAAGTACATAGATACAGTAAATAGACTGTACTTATATAGCGACTTTCTATCTTATCAAGATACTAAAAGTGATCAATACAACACAATCTGTGTCCTCATTTACCCATTCATACAGCACTCTATTATACATTTACAATGAATAATCAGTGCTTCATCACATTCATACACCGATGAGACACATCAGAGGCAATGAGGGGTTCAGTGTCTTGCCCAGGGACACTTCGGCATGTGACTGATGGTGGAATCGAACCCCCAACTCTTGCATTAGAGGACGACTGCTTTAACCACTCAGCCACATTTGCCCCGTCAGTATCTGATACTTCTCCAGCAAGTACCAGGCTTGTGAAATTCATCCATCCATTATCTTTATCTGCTTCTTCCTGGACACCTTGGACATGTCTCCAGTCCATCACAGGGACACAGAGACAAATGAGACAAACAACCAGTCACTCTCTCACTCACACCTGACAATTTAGAGTTATCAATCAGCCTAACATGCATGTTTTTGGTCTGTGGGAAGAAACTGGATTACCCAGAGAAAACCCACACATGCACAGAGAGAACATGCAAACTCCACCCAGAAAGGCCCCAGACCGGGATTTGATCCAGCGACGTTCTTGCTGAGAGACTACAGCTCTACCAGCTGATCCACCGTGCCACTGCTTGTGATTTATTTATTTTTTTGTCTTCTTTCAGCTGCTCTCTTCTTCAGGGGTCGCCACAGAGAACTAACTCGCAGAAAGAACTGGCAGTTATTTTAATGCTGGATGCCCTTCCTGACCCAACCACAGACCACTGAGCCACCACAGCCCTCTGTGTGGAGCAGAGAGCTGCCATCTAGATATGCTCAGGGGAGCAGACGACAGTTAAGGGCCTTGCTCAAGGGCCGAATGGGGCGAATGCAGAGGAAATTAAAATAAATAAATAAACCCTGAAGCACATCACATTGTAAAGGACTTGTCTGAAAGGTTACACATTTTGTCTAATATTTCCTTTAGTTTTTTGTTTTTTAATGTGTTCATTTGAAGTGTTTTGTTGTGTTTCAGGATTTTTGTTGTATTTTGCACCTCGATACCACCATTAAGCAGGGAAGCAGTTCTGTAATTAATTACTTCTAAAAGTCCCACGCACAACATCCAAAACTTGCGTTGTGTTTACCGTTTGTCAAGAATAACGAGTCCAAACGAGGAAAGTGGATTTTCAACTTATTTCTTAGTTTCTGCTTAAAGACTGATTCAAATAAAGAAAACTGAGAGTCAAAGTGCAGGTCAACAATAGGACTTCCTCTGAGGCGCTCTCCTGTAGAAAGAGCTGCAGGTTAAAGGTGCATTCACCATTTACAAATACATTTAATACAAATGAAAAGTCAAACGCTACTTTTCTATGATTGAGTTCATGAAAGTGCAGCTTCAAGTCTAACTAAAATATGCATCAACTCTGATCTTTGAGAACGCACCACAAAAATAACTTCTTTAAATAAAACCCAACTCAAAAAGGACATTAGCATTAGCCAAAAAAAAAAAAAAAAAAATCTCAAAGCATCAAACTACAGAGAAAGTAACAAAAGGAAGACTTAAATTGCTTTAATTCAACACCACCAAGAGTTCGTTTGAACTAAACAACCATTTAGATATAAAAATGTGCAACAAAAACGTTATAAAACTATCTGAATGAGGACTGCTTTAATTCTGTATAATAAACTTTGTCTGGAATGTTTTCCTCACCGACAGCGTACAGTCAGCGATTCGGGATATGTCGTAGTTCTGCTACATTTGAAACTTTTCTTTAGTTTTCCCTCTGAGCTTCAGTCCGACTGACCGTTCTGGCAGCCTTTCAGAAACAAGTCGTCCTGCGACAGATGTCCGTCAAAGCCGTCCATGTAGAGGCTGCTGGTGCTGCTGCCGCTGCTGCCCAGGAACGTCCCCACCGCCCGGCCTTGACGGGCGTGGCCGACGGCATCGCTGAACACTTTGTTGATTTGCTCCTCTGAGGGCATCCACCAGTCTGGGTTTGAGGCACAGTGCATCCGGATAAACTCTGGACAGACATGGACATATTCAGTGTTGATTTTAGCTTCTTTTTGGGGGGTGCTCAAGCACCCATACATTTTAACTCCGCACACCTGAAAAAAACTAAACAATCATTATGATTTTGTAAGGAAACAGTTCTCAAACCTTAGATTCACCAAAGTATTGAATATATTTGAATAAATGGGGAATAAATTATTTACGGGCCAGTAAAATCTGTTTTTTTTTTGTTTGTTTTTTGCAGATCCTCAATGCCACCTGTCAATCTATCCAGTATCCAGTCAGCAACTGACCGATCAGCAACCTCAATTTGTCCCGAAGGTAAACGCCCCTTACCTGCAGAAGCTCCACCCCTTTTTTCTTTTACAACATTGTCGTGGTTTTGCTTTACGGGCGCTTTGCCGTCAGAGGGATTTCGTGAAAAATTAACCAAAAAAATGATTAAACTTGTCAGTGAGGAACGTGCATTTCAGACACCGTTACCCTGAGTGTTTAGAGGGTGGAATACAGTTTATTCCATTTCACAATTTAAACGAAGTTGGCGGGCAGCTGGATATAACAGTTATCAAAAGGAGCTAACACATGTTTGTCAGTACGAAGTTAACTGCAAGTAAATCTTCCATTTTCTGTCATAATTACATTTTATGCTTCATAGTTAAATTAATGCTTAAAGCTAGTTGTGCTCTAGTTGTGCTTTGTGTGTCTTTTATGTAGATATATGTTGCAACTTCTGGTTGCATAAGTTGAGTCTTTGTTTGTTATGATCACTTAACACTAAACTGATTTTGTACAAAGTGTTTATAAGGTTGTGTAATGTAAAGTGGAGCGCTGCTCACACAAGGGGGGCTGTTGGTCAGGCTACTTCTTGTTGTGCCGTGCTCTCTAAAATAGTTTTTGAATCAAGTGTTTATATATGTAGGTAAACATAAATGTTTTAAAACCTGTTAAAAATAAACAAGAATGCAGGAAATGGTACAAATCTACTTTGTTCAAAATTCTCTGGGGGAAAACCCTCAGATCCCCCCCACCACCAGCACCACCACTAGTGTGTCACCCCCACATTACAAATGCTTCCGACGCCAATGGCCACCATGTTGTTTAAGCCAAGAGCCATTGTCAACATTTGGGGGCGATGCACACCTAAAGGTCAGATTCTAGAATCGCCCCTGGACATATTAGCATCTAGACATATTTATCTGTTATACATTCTATTTATTTTCATAATAAATCACAAAGGATGATGTTAGTTTGAATCTGCTGCTGTTTTCCTATCTTAAAACAAGCAAACAGACCAGCTGGTTGCTCTGACCTCTGAGGCAGCTGACTTTGACGGGGTTAAGTGGTCGTCTCTCCAGGCCCGGCTCCCCTGAGTGCACCGATCGCTTCCTTTTGCCCAAGCCGCAGGAGAATTTCAGCTCGTCTGTGGTGAAGACGTAGCGGATCAGGTAGCGCAGCAGCCGTCGGCCGTCTTTCTTTGAGGAGTTGACGGCCTCGTCCCACTGCTTGTTGCTGATGAAGAGCGGATAATTCTCCAGGAGCTGCTTGCTTCCCTGGAGGGAGGAGGGAAACTCAGAGGAAGTTCAGGGCTGATGTGAAATAAACTAAAATTCTGGCTTTTGAGGTCGTAAGAAGTTAAATCGATACGAAAAGTATACACATTTCTGCAGTTTCAATTAATGAAATCACAAACCTCAAAGACAGTTTGCTGTTCTTCCTCCTGCAGAGACACAAGTTAAAATTTCATTTTTACACTAAATAAAAACGGCTGATGCGGCGTTTTCGCTCGTAATAGCGCGAGGCTGAGTCTCACCTCGGTGAGCTGCTCTTCTGGCATCGCTTGGCCCAGCTGGTTGTGAACCTCCAAAACAGTCTTGAAGTAGTCAAGAACATTTTGACAGGGAACTGTGTAAAAATAGAAAACAAACACAAGACAACCCATCTTATTAACACCTTCTTGCTTTGACGATCATTTTCGCTCAGAGGGATTATAAAGCTAACATCAGATTAGAGACACGTTCCGCTGTCGTCAAGGTTTTACCAAGCTTTACTTCTATAGCACCATTCATACAAATCAATTTCAAAGTGTTGTACAGAAAAAAATAATAAAATGAATGTAAAAATCAGATTGAACAGATGGGATTTTTAGTCTATGTTTAAAAGTATCATAATTGTGGATTCTGGCAGATCCTGATCATCCACTCCATTCAGGTTGCTCCCATTGGGACGCAGGTATCTGCTGCCCAGATGTACGATGAACAGACTGAAAAAAAACTCATTCATCTCTGTAGTGATCAGGCTTCTCAACGATCAATGATGATTTCTGTTATTCTATTTTATTGTCAATGTCTTGTCTCGTATGGATGTTTTATGTGCTGACTGTGAAACAAATTGCCCCTTGGGACTAATAAAGAATCTTGAACTTGAACTCTCAGCTCTTCCAGCAGGCCGATCCACAGTCTCGATGCATAGATACTAATATATATATATATATATATTTAACCTTTATTCATACAGGTCGTGTCACTGAGACACAATAATCACAAGAAGTTTTTATTTAGCTTTGTTTGTTTTTTTTGTAAATTACTTTTGTTTGAAAATATTCTGAGCAAAAAGGGGCAGATATGATTTATTCTTCTTCTGCTGCGTTTCATTTTATTTTTGATTGTATACATATTTTTTTGTTTTCTATTGTATATAGTTATTTTGTTTTTAATGAAATGAATAAATTTCTAAATAAAATAATAAAATAAAATAAATTTTCTAGAGACCTGCTTTGGGAGCAGATGGTGGGGGTTAAGGGCCTTGCTCAAGGGCTCCTAGTGAGGCAAATAAGGGTGGAGACAGGTGTGTGTTTCATCGTTTCCACCCACATTTTGATGTTGTCAGTCCATGGAGTCGAACCGCCGACCTTCCGGTTAGAGACCCACCTTCTCTAACCTCTGAACCACC